GATATTTATTTTCTAATGAAGAATTTTGTTCAATATTATTTTCATTTGTTATTGATGATGTTGTTGTTGGTGAATTTAATGAATCATCAAAATCAATTTCACATGATTTTAATTGTGATGAATTTTTATTTAATAAATTTGAACAAGAATTTGAACTTGATTTTGATAATGATGCTTTTGTACCTGTATAAGCAAGACGATGAAAAACAGAATCATTTGATAAATTTCCATTATTTGGTGGGATTTGACCTAGCATACAGAAAATTATTATCATTAGTCATTGATTCGATCAATTAGCCAATGAAGCGAAAGACAACTAATTAAAGCCTAACCAAAATTTGTTCAGATTTTCTTTGTGGAGTAAGTTTGTATAACATTCAGTAAATTTTGTATTTAAAAAAAATTCAAAACTGTTCGTACAAAGTAAAAGCGGTTTTGGCAAAGATGATCGAAATTTCAACAATAAGACTTTCACTAATGGACAAAGCCCAGAGGTGCATCGGTGAAAATTCAATGACGGAACGTTGATTTTTCTACCTAGCGCAATGAAATACTTGAACAACGAAATTTTAACCTGAAATTTTACTCATATGCAGCTCTGATAGTCATTAGAATATTCTAAAAGTTTCAATGGAAAAAAAAATGTTTCTCTTTTGTAGATATTCAATTTTCAAGATTTTATAAGTTATGAGACTCCAGAAGGAGACATTTCCTTCGAGGTGAAGTATCATTGGTCGAAACCTTCTTAGAATAGTAGAAGAACTTTAATTGTAATTCTACAAGGAGAAAAGATATTTCTATTTATCAATGATATCTTATTATACCTAACGGTGATTGAGTATCAACCGGTGATAATTTATTTGATTGAATTCTTTCATTTGTTCTACGTTCATTTTGTTGTATATTTGTTCGTATAGATGTTGGTGGTGGTAATCTTTGTTGATGATTTATTTGTGTTGGAAAATTAGTTGGTCTTCCTGATCTTTGTTGTTGTTGTTGTTTAATACTATCTGATGAATTTGTACTTGATATTGATTGTGTTCGATCATGTAGATCATCTTGTTCTTGAGATAATTGATTAGTTGAATCATATTGTTGATTATAATCAATGTTTATTGGCCGAAAATTAGTTGTATTTGTTATTGTTGCTGGATATGCATAATGAATAAATGTATCATTTGGGAGTGATTGATTATTATTATTATTATTATTATTATTATTATTAATATTTTCTGATAGATATTCATCTATTGAATGACGTCGATATTGATCATTAATATCTTCATTTTGATAATTATTCGTTCGACGTAAACGTGGTGGGATAATAGGAGGTTGATCAGATATATTCATATAATGATTTGTCGTTAAATATGGATTTTGTGAATTAGAAAATACTGATGTTGAATAAGCATCACCAATATTTGACTGATCAAGAAAATTATTTGGATCATCATAACGTGTTAATCGACGACGTCCAATGATTGATTGATAACCTCCTCCTGTACCACAACTTGGAGTACTTGTTGTCATTAATGTTGAACGATTTGTATTTAACCAAGGATCATGATTTGATGAATAATTAGTTCTTGGTTGATATTGTGATGTTGATAGAAGACTATTTTGTAATTGAATATTAAATCGTTCAACTGCCCGACGAACACTAAGATAGTAAATATACAAAAAAGAAAAATATTTTAATTTTTGAATTTTTCTTTAAACTTACATTGGATCATCTGAATAAGGTGTTTGATTTAAATTATTTGATGTATATGTTGAATCATATGAAGAACTAGGTAATGATGATTGATTATAATAATTAGTTGTTGTTGATGAAGAAGAACGAATAGGTGCAAATGCAGATGAAGATTGATTTTCACTAGTTGGTCGATATGGTATCGGACGTTGAATTTCATTTTGTTCTTGTTGAGAATATGAAGATGAAGGTAATTGTTTCAAGTCATTTTTTGATATTGCTGGTGTTTCAGATAATGATGTTATCAATGGATTTCGACGTGGACGTGTATATTCACAACTATATGCTGAATATGTTTGTGTTGGTGTTGCATAACTAATAGATGATTCTGTTGTACGTGTAAAATTTGGTTCAAGAGTTTTAATAAATGTATTTGGATACTGAAAATTTGGTTCATTTAATGCAATTTCATTTGATGAACGATTACGTTGTAATTGTGTTGATGTATCAATATCATCAAGATTAGTTGTTTGACCAATTGCTAAATCTCTTGATGTAAGCATATCTTCCGAACGTGATCGTTGACGAATATGAATTGGTTGTTTTTGTTGTAATTGTTGTAGTTGTTGTTGTTGTTGATTATTTGATGTAACATAAACTGATTGTGTTGGTGCACGCACAACAGGTAAATCATGTTCACCTGATGAGATAAAATTATTTGTTGTTGATAAATCAGATGTATCATTTGATGATGGTGTACAATAACGTTGATGTACAGAAATATATTTTGTTCTATTATTTGTTGTTGGTGATTGTGATGAATTTGTATAACGTGATAAACGATCATTTGTTGGTTGTAATGTACCAAGTGTATAATTTTCTGTATACCAATTTTCATTTGTATCATTTGTTGTTGATGGTATTACTTTTTTTAAATTTGATTCAAGACGCATTAATGCACGTCGTGTAATAGGATCTTGAATATCATCATAATTTACTGATTTTGTTTGAATTAATTTACGATTTTTTTCATCATAACGTTCAAGTGCACGACGAACTATAGGATCTTGTATTTCTTCAGAATTAGGTGTATATTCATTTTGAAGTTTTTGTTGTTGTTGTTGTTGTTGTTGTTGTTCTAATTGTGTTTTATCAAGATATTCACGACTTTGACGACGTTCACGCATAACTTCAAGTGTATTTAAACGACGACGACCTTCAAGTTGAAAACCATATGGTTTAATAGCTGGTTCTTCAATTGATGAAGATCGTCCTGTGACTGTATTTGATGAACTACTTATTATTGAATTATCAGTTGATGATGAAACTACTAAACTTAAATTTTCTTTTTCACTTCCGAGATCATTTTCACTTGTCATTATTGCATCACTTGTGATTTGTTGTTGTCGTCCTTCTTGCTGATCTTTAGAGTCAACAATGTTCGTTGACTGGTTATCAATAACTAGAATAATAAAATAGAGAATAAAAAAAAAAAAAAAAAAAAAAAAAAAAAAAATCTGTTGCACCCCTATATAGATATGTTAATCGTACGTGACTAAAATAAACAACCTTGAAGCTATACCCTTTTACAACTTTACAAAACGATAATCAATAGGAAGAAAAAAAAAAGCTCATTTATTTGTTCTCGTTCTATTGATTATTTTTATTTGTGTGATGTAGTGGTTAGAGATTTTCACTTATTTTTTTCTTCTTCTCTATTTGTAAACGAGACGGACAGGAAGAGAAATATTTGATTGCTGCTATTGCGGCGATAAAACGCGAATACCGCATAAAGCAAATATGAACTTTTTCTGTCATATTAAGCTCTATGTACCCGTACTTAATTCTTCCTTTGGGTTTTCTTTCTTTTTTTTCAAAACCAATAATGTATCTACATACTTGATTTGATCTAATATAGAAAGATTAATAGACAAGAAAATGTAAAAAAACAAATGTCGCAGAAATAAACAAACATTGATTAATGTTCGAATACAAAAAATAAAAAGACGCATATATATCCATTATGGAATTCCTTTCTTCTCTTTCATGTTGGGCAAATAGATTTATATCTTCTATGTTATTGTGCTCTTTTTTCTCTTTGACATTCAAAGAATTTTTGTTGATGTAATCACAAAATGAGGTAGTGGGATTCTAATCAACATTCTGACAGAGAGAACAAGAAACAATACTAAAGCCATTGAAACGATTAGATATTCCGTTCTTTCTGTTATCGTTTCTTGTCAATTTGACAGTGTAATTGATACCCGTCTAACAGACTAAAAAAAGCCGATGCATGCACAGCTGTTTATTATTCACTCACCTCGTTTGTCATCATTTTCTACTAATGTTGACGGCTGCTGCTGTTGCTGCTGCTGTTGTTGTTCTTCTATTTTATGATTATCATTATTGATCTTATCAATAGTTGAACTTGTTATACTAGGTGAATTGTATGTCGTACCATAATTAAAATCGCTATCATCAAATGTTTTACGTGGTCGTATATAACTATCCAATTGAGGAGATGATAGAGATGTTATTGATTCATTATTAATTGTAACTGGTGTTGAACTTAATTGTTGTTCAATATTTTTAAACAAATTTTCAAGTGATTTACGTGATGTTGAAAGTGATCCTGACCATGAGGATTTACCTTTTGATGTTCTTAAATTTGTTTCATCCTTATTATTTTTAGCAACAGCAGCATTCATACGTTCTTCAAAACGTTGTACAGCACGTAATGCAATAGGATCATCAGCCGTTGATTGTGATGCTGTTGTTGTTGTTGTTGTTGTTACTGACGATTCTGTGGATAATGTATTGGCAGGTTGTGGTGAATCATCATATGTATCAACTAAATTAGCTATAGCTTTTTCATAACATGATAAAACATTTCCAAATTGTAAAGAACTATCCTTAGGAATTGGTGTTATATTTGGTTGTGGTGAAGATTGTTTTTGTTGTTTTCGTTCATCATCAGTAAGAATACAATCAATTGGTTCGATTGAATCGATTGGTTTTTTTAATATAATTTCTTCATCATCAGGAATTTCTTCAATTTCAATTTTTTTATATTGTTCTTCATTTTGATCAATATTAGACATTGCTATTTGATTTAAATTGTTTGATAGCGTTTGTATTGGCGACTCATCTTCTATCCGCTGTTTGTTGAATTGCTCTAGTGTCGGTAATGGCGATGATGTTCGTTCTCTTTCCTCTCGTTTTTCTTTTTCTTTTTTCTCTTGCTGTAATAAGACTGTTTGTCTTAGCTCGTCGTTTCTTAATATTATTCCCGACGTGTGATAGTCATATACGAAGCTACTGTTGTTCTTTTTCTCTGCCTCGACGTTATAGTCGTCGTCACAATGTTGTTGTTCTTCTTTTTTTTCTTCTTTTTCTTGTGGTAAATATTCGATAGTATTACTTTCATTTGTTGATGACGTTAAAGACGAAGGAAACATTGATATTAATGTTGAAGAAGAAGAAGAAGATAATGAATTTGAATCCAATGGATTAGTTATTATAACTGAATTATTTTCATTATTAGCTTGTTGATTATCAACTAAGTCATTATGAATATTTGTTATTGTCTCTGTATGGAGTGATAATGGACCTTGTTTTTTTTTCATTGTTATTTCTTCTTGTTGTAAACAAAAAAATTTTGTTACTGGCAGTTGTCCGTCATCATTGTTTTCATCGACATTTGTGCTTATCAACAATGATAAATCTAAATAGATAAAATTAGATGTCAATCGTAAGAGAAAAGATAATTTTCGTTTCGATATAACTTATGTGGGGGAGGTTCAATCCTTGACCACGTCTAATAAATGTGATCGATAGCGATCAATCAATTGACAATACCAATAAAGAAAAAGAAAAAAGAAAGAAATCAACCGTATATAGGCTAGGTAAAATAAAAAGGATTTTGTTAACCTTGCAATTTTTTTTCTCGTATGTGCGTTGATGTGTATGTATTTATGTATATGCATAGGCGTTCGTTTTTTTTTTTCTTTTTAATGGAATAATGATTAGTAATGATGAAAATTTTAATTCTCGTGATGTTTTCTATTGCTTATGAATAATATGAAATAATTATATTTTTGTTTTCTTTTTCCTTTTTTTTACTTCTGAATTTTTTACTTTCTTTCATTTTACCTTTCGATGGTAATTCAATTGTTTGATCAGGATTCGTTTGTTCCACTTTGATTGTCGTTGGTAATGTGTTAATCTCCTACAAATAATCAAAGAAAAGACATACAGCTGAATATACATTCGAACTTTGAAACATGTTATTTATCATCTATTAAAGAAGAGAAAAGAAAAATCTATACTTCATTTATTTAAAGTACAAGCCTTAGTTTATATGAATGTATAGAGCTATTGAGTAAACAGCTGTATATACGTCTAGTACCATTGATGAATCGGTCAAGGAAAGTTCAGAATTATTGTATTTTAAAATTCACTGATTTTCAAGGATGAAAAATTAAAATAATCTAGTAATCATAGTTATTTGAGATTGATAATGAACGATATAGTGTGATTAGTCATGCTTTTATTTGTTCATTGAGTTCTTATTGTAACGATTAGAGAAAGAGACAAGGAGAAAAAAAGTTGAAGATGAAAATCTCAATATAATCAATGAAATCATCATGTCTTTATTTCAGTCGAATGTTTGATTGACATCAATGTCAATAAGTTAATTAGGAAATCTTACAAATCTTTCAAGATTTCAATATAAAATATTCGCTAAATAAAAGCACAATGTTACTTAAATCAACTGATAAATCTAATAACTTCTATTGATTATTGAGAGCATTTTTAGTGTCACGTAAATGTCCATATTTTAATCGAATTCAATCCTCTCGATGATCTATTTTCTATATATTTCAATGTACTTGAATTTCTTTACATATGGAATTCATTCTATAACACTCGAAGCAATACTATTAGCATATTGTTTTGTAAAATACAATAATTAAAGCCAATAACAAGCAAGTGAGACTCCTGTAGTGATTTCCCTGCAGTCTCTTTTTTATTAGTATACTCTAAGCTTCAATTACATCATTTTCATATATTGAATTTATTATTGAAATTTTATTCTTGCATTTGTCTATTCATAAAAAATGTTTTATATTTTATGAATAGTTGGCCTTTTTTTTTTTTTTTTTTATTAATTATTCATGAAATTCTACTAACCTTAACCGTCATCGATGTATTTGAATTTATTTTATCATTTGAATTTATTTCAATTTTATTCTTATGTTGTTGATTTGTTGATGAAAATTTTCGTCGAAGAACAGCAATCGGTGGAAATTCTACACCTAATATTGTTTTTATTGATAATTGTTCATGATTATTCTTATCAGTTTTTGTTGATGTTGACCAACGTTCGTGCATTTTTTTTTCACGTCGAGACATTTTATCAGTATTATTTATTGTCATCTGTTCATTGTTGTCTATCGAACTACTAGTATTATTAGTTAATCTTGTGCAAATGGTATTGCTTGTTATAGATAAAGATTGAATATCATCATTTGATAAATCATTGGTTATTATTGTTTTCGATTCATCGATGACATTCGATGATGATCCATCTATTTATATAGAATTCATCAATATCATTTTTATTCTCTCTCTTTTTTTTTATTTATTTATCATGTTATTTGATCTGACTAGAATAATAAAAAGTAAATGGCTTACCTTCATTGAATGATATATTAGATTGATGAATTATTTCATCAAATTCTAGTACCATATTTTCTAAATCAACTGATGAAGAATCTGGTGATAAATAAATGCTGTGTGATGATCCAGATTCACATGATTTATAAATATCGTTGGTGATTAATAATTGTTCATCAGGTATTGGTATTGGTAGTGAACACTTAAATAGAAAAAGATAAATGTTTTATATATATATATATATGATATTTTGTGCTCATAGTAGAGAAATATTTTTTCTTGACATTTAACAAATATATTCAAATAGGCGTGAATAACTTTTACATATATTCATTGTTATTCTTCCACTATAATGGTCATCAAATAATGATGATAAATGAGAAAACTGTTCTCAAATGTATATATATATATATACATATACAAAGGTCAATATCATCTATGTCTATGTGTTATGCTCAAGGCTTCACAAATGGTTATATTCTAGGTTATTTATTAGAAGAAGAAAAAAAACGAACATGATAATATAATTTTTATATGAAGAAATATTTTTATTTATATTAATAAATTTTAATATAAACATAATATTATTATTCTTGAAATTTAAAATAATTTTATTCTTACAAAATCTTAGGTTATTTTTTTAATATATGAACGATCAAAGTTTTATTTGATCGACAGGAAAAGAATTCAAATTTTTATTTTTCCATTAATAAGAATCTATCAATATAAAATATAATTCAAATTTTAAATCTTAAATAAATACAAAACGACTACAAATTAAATTATAGTAAAAACTTACTATATCATCTGATAAGAAATAGATTAGATAATAATTCAATTTGTAATATCCAAATTCAATAAGCTATTATTAGTATTATGTAGTAACGTATATTATATCAATTAGCAAATCACAATATATAGTTGAACTCATTCTTATTAATACTAATGATCCTTGTCATACGACGTCAAAAAAAAAGGACAAAGACTTATATCATAACGTAAGTACTTTGTATCAGATAGTTGTACGATACTCGACGAAAGCTCTATTAATATCATGGTCTTGTATGTAGAAATAATGACCTCGTCTGGAAGAATTTTAGCGGAAGAAAAAAAAAAAGAAGAAATCAAAGAATCAGATCTACCCTGTCAGATCATTATCAAACATTTCTTTTTTAGTTGATAGAATTTTACCAATGAAGAAATAGCCCAAGTAAACGGCTAAATTCAGAAGTCATGTGAGTAAAAACCACCCTAGTATTTCAAGATAAAATTTTGTCCATAAATGAGTCTAATGATTTATGGAATATCTTGAATTTTTTCGATGAAAAGAATGTTCCTTTTTCGAGATATTGAAATTTTTTAAGTAAACGGCTATTTTGGAGATTTAATATCTTGACAAAAGAATATATATTTTTTTTTTCGATTGAAACTTTCAGCTCATTGATGCAAACATTTTTAAGTTTCTGTTAATCTTATTAATACATCCTTGTAGGCAGAATATGAGTTTAAACAACGGATATTGTAAGATAAAATATAACCATTATACTATTTGTAAAAAAACAAGTTGTTAATACAATCCCTATGGGATCAATATATGAAACATGATGTAACTGCTAATCATAGAGAGAGATTGTTTTATTCTATATAATATCTTGAGACATATTTCTTCAGCCGTCTTTTTATTTGATCCTCGAGAAATGCAATAATGAAATAGTTAATATATTGTGAGAAATTACTATTGACATACGTTCTGTAAGCATATATCAACAATGTATGTCATGGCCGCCTCCAGTTAGAATCTATGATGAGTTCTCAAGGTTTATGATAGGTCGTCATAATGTCTGTGAAGGGAAAAGAGGAGTATGTTTTAATTTTTACACATTTCTTATAGATCATGTTTGACAAATATCAACTAAAAAGGAGACTACTTTTTAATAAGGTACTTTTCAAGAGAACAAAATTTTGAGCAAGATAAAGGGTTATGACATTTTCGATGACCTTACCCCCCCCTTAAAAGTTAAAAGCATTAAAAAAAAAAAAACGAAATTTATTAGAAAATTGAACTCAAAATTGTTTTTGTGATGCTTTTAACTTTTCAACAAAGAAGGTCATAGAAAATGTGATAGGTCCTCATTTTGTACTTTTTAAAATGGCATTATTAAAAAACAGCTCTGAAAAAATCTTCTTGAACCTGAAAAGTATCATGTGTGATTTTTTAGAAATCTTGTCAACATAGTTAGAGCTCATCGGATTGAATTCGAGTTTGAGAAATGTGTAGTACGTGATATTCATCGAATATAAAAAGTATTTCGAATCTTCAGAGCAATTATCCAATTCCGATTCATTGAGAATATCAAAGTACGATTCGAAAATTTTCGATCCGACAATGTATAAAATCTTGCTATTGAATACATTATATAGAAAGTTTCCTTGACTATTATAATTACTATGTGGATTTAAGCTAATTGCTTCAAAAAAAAAATAATACGTTGTTAGCAAAGTTTATATGAGCATCTTATTTGCAATAATTGTTCTCCGAAAGTAAAAACTTACCATGGCTTCAGACGTTCCTAGTGTTTCTTCCAATTGTATCGGTTGTTCAAAGTCTACAACAAGCCAAGGTTCTTTTTCTGTTGATGTCATTGAAGAAATCTGATCATCTGACAAGGATTTTTCTTCTACTATCTGATTTGTATCTGGATAATATTCATGTACAATTACTTGTGAATTTGATATATAATCACTAGTACTTAATGATTCAGATAGTGATTGATTTGGTGATTTTGATATTATTGTTGTTGTTGTTGTTGATGGTATATCAAAACAACCATCACGTACTAATGTTTGACAAATACTAACAAAATTATTTTTATCAATAATTGGTATTTTTAAATCATTTGATAAATTAATATCATTATTAATAAATTTTTTAAAAAGATAATAAAGATATTCAATTAAATTTTGATCAACTTCAGTAACAGTTGGATATTTATCTTTTTTTCTTTTTCGTTTTTTTGATTTATTTTCATTTGATAAACATTCAACACGTAAAATAAGTAAATTAATTAATGTTAATATTTCATTATATTCATTAGTTTCAAATAAATTTTCATTATTTAATTGAGAATTCATTATAATCGATTGAGATATTTTTATTGATGATGAAGTCGTATTTTTAGATGATTTCTACATAAATTAGAATTGTTAATTTACTTGAAATACAAAACAATTATAAGAATGTATTCCTATTCAAATGTTTAATTCATATAACAACAAACAGTTTAAATAAGAAAAATCTTTTTTCATGTTGAGAAGAAAGAATGACAAAATAATTTTGAGACAATTCTTATTTTTGTTTTAAAAGATTGAAAACAAAACAAAACAAAAAAAGGTTTTTACTCATCCTAATCTCAATAAGTAAAAAAGATAGATTGTTCACTTTACCTGTTTTGTATATTGACGATAATCATTTGTTTTATCATTTGTTGATGTTTTTAATTCATTACGTAAATATTGAAGAAATGAAGTAACAAGTAATGTTGAATCATTTTTATTATAATTCGTATTTGAATCACTTGTATATCGTCGACGTTGTTGTTTTATATCTTCATCAAAATTTTCATTCATAGACGAAAAATGTTTTGTCGGTGGTAACGATGTTGGTCGATTTATGGTTTGATATTTCGAACAATCGTTCTTATTATTTGAATGTTTGTTTGAATGAATATTATGACTACTACATTCCGCAGGTAGTTCGGCGGCAGAAGAAAATTGATCAACTAAAGTAAAGGTTATTGTGACATCTGTTCAATCACAATAGGTATGTATACATATATATAGACATATCAAGAACTATGCTGTTATATGTAGAAAAGAAGAATCTCTGGACAATATTCATACCGCAAAGACGGATGATACAGATTAGTTTTGATTATAAATTAATCAATAAATATTAAAAGAAGAATAGATTCTTTTTTTTTTTATTCCTTCTCACCTGTTCCCATTACTTTTGTTATGTCATTAAAATCTTCTTCTTCATTGATGCGATTCATTGTTTACAATCAATGTCGCCACCACATACCAATGATATGCAGAAAAGAATTAATGTTTTTATTTCATGTCTATGCTTTTTTTTTTCTTCTTTTTCTTTTTTTTATTAGTATTGTCCGTGCGTGTTGTTTAAAAAAAGAAAAAAGAAATATTGACGACTTTTTTTCTCTTCTTCACCGTACACACATACATTCACTTTCATTTTATGCGAGGTCATCAACCATTAGGGATTGTGCCTTTTTTTCTGCTTCTTTTACTTTACTACGACATCTCTGTGAAGAAGAATGAAGGACGAAAAAGCATATGATTTGCAAAAATGTTTTAATAGTAATTGACTACATACTTAAAAAAAAATATGATTGAGAATTATAAAATGAATGTTCTCTCTGATATATATATATTTGGTACTTTTTATAGACAACCGAGAGAGAGAGAGAGAACACCCAAAGATATCCAGCCTATATCTATATACTTGCTTTCATCATGATTTCTGTGTATTGTGTTATATGACGCATTGGAAAAAAAAATCATAAACTATACGATTCGTTTCATTTAAAACTTGTATATCATCATATATTCATTATTTTTAACCGGTACTCGACATAGAAAAATAACACATCGATTTATTTACCTGTAATATTCATCTTATCTAATATCGATTTTGAAGTGAAATAGCAACGTTAAAATAATGTTTGTTCCGGGTCAATATACGATGAGCTTGTCACCTGTACTAATCGGTTATATAGTAATATATCATAGAACAATGGAAAAAAACCGAGAAGCAATAGAGCGTTATCGGATCTGAAAGATAAGAACAAAAGAGAGGAAAAGGAAGAGAATATAGCGTATTAATGTATTGAGCATCAAACATGCCAAGTTCAATATGTCAATAAACTGAAGCACACACATATATATATATACGTACATATGCGTGAAAAGAAAGTAGATAAAACTCTTTTTCTTGTCTTTTGTTTTTTTTACATGATATGCATATCGATGCCAGTTCTTTCTATTCTAAATTATTGTTTTTTTTTCGCTGCTAATGTAGACTATGAATGATACCTCCTGTTGTTTTTTCATATCATACCGAACGATGGATTATTCTACTTGTTATCATACTATAAGTCCAACAAGGTAAAAGAAATATGATATGAACACATGTAGATATAGATATGATTATGCTTCTCATTAATGATTTAGTACTCTTTTGTTAATACAAAAGAATTCCCCAGGCTATTCTAATGACTATTCTGTTTTAAAGTTGAATGTACCTATAAAATACATTAATAAATAAATAATCTATTAGAATAGTATGTGCCACTATTCTATAAAAAATAAAATAAAATATATGATTATACTTATGCATCAATGTAAAAAAAATATTGGTTCGATTTTCAAGTTTTTTAATATTGTGACGAAGAAAAAAAGGCAAAAACGTAAGACGTATATAGTTAAAGACAAGGTAAGAACAATTATAAATATTTGATTATATGGTCATACTTTCTGCTTTACTAATTGAAGGTAATATTTCTTATATATTAATATATATATGTAGACAGTCCTTGGTGAAAAAAGTCAAAACAAGGACAAAACTTCACACTTGATGGTATTGTAGGTTTATACCAATAAATCAATAAGAATATGGTAAAGTCAAGATCGAGAATGTGTTTTTTTTTTTGATTATAGTATATCAATATTACTTTTTAAAAGAAGTTATAGTGAAGTTTTCATTAATATAGAAAATTACTTTCGCATGGCTTCTTTCTAAACAAAGATGAAAGATGAGACAGTCTTTATAAATCAATCACACTTCTGTATTCAATTCTTCAATTTATTTTCTTTTTTCTTGTCTATCTTTATCCGATCTAATCCTTATGTAGTGTGTGTATGTGTATGTGTCTGTCTAGTAGTTCTATTCTTTTCTTTTTTGATCGATTGATCTCCTAATATATAGCTTTATAAACATATCTTACAACGTATTTGTTCTTAGAAGATTAATCTAGATATTGACACCTTCATATAATGATAAGAGTATAATCTGATCTTTCAATAGTTTTGACAAATATCTGAATAATCTAGATTACATGAAAAAAAAAAAAACTTTAATATTCTTTCAAAACGGAAGTCATCATTTATTTTGTTGATTTTATTTAACAATAGAGAAAAAAAAATGAGTATTAAAATTCATTTCAAGTATAGATTTTGAATATTTTTATGTTTCTTTTTTTTTCGAGTATATGTGACAATTGAATATAAAATGTTCATTTGCATATTAAAAAAAATTATTATCAATAGAATCCTAAGGAGACTAAAATGAATGTAGTTCATATCTGCTGTATTACATAATCAAGACATACAAAATCATGCATATTTATAATTTTTACCTTTTTCTTCTTCGATGATTACCCATTCATCTAGTTGATGTTTAGCCAGCTTTTCTTAGTTATTATGAAGCTTGAAGATTATTATGTGAAATAAAGTAAAGAATTATAATCTATTTTGCATATATCGAACTTATGAAATCAATATGTGTGGCTTTTCGATAACGAATAATCATAAGACCATGATTCATCTTTTTGTTTTAAAAATAAATACACCGAAATAATTTGATTATATATTTTTAATTTAAAAATACCAAAAACAATAAAATAAGATCTTACTGGATTATTGTATTATTGGCTTTATCTTTTTTTCTACTGCAATAAAAAAGAGAAATTTGACAAAGTATTTGGATTAAATATGTTATTCGAAATACATAGCTCATAAACAGCAGTTGTTATCGCTGATTTCAAAGGCCGTTTAATCAAGGTAAACTAGTAATCTGCAATTGAGACGATGTAAAAAACAAAATAAGTAAAATACTCTGTTGTCGACAATGAAAGAAAATTCGTTTTATAAGAAATTCGCTGTTCTTTCGTTTTCTCTTTACTCCTCGTGATTTTTTTTTTTCGCAAGTTGTCTGTCACATTTTTTTTATTAATATTGTGCAAACCAACATGACAAGTGGGAAGAATCGAATAAGTTGCTTGATCTATTCACAAATTCACAGAAAAAAAAAAGAATCATTGAAAAACTTCATTTTGAACGAAGATTATTCATAAAATATCAATATAAAGAAGCTAATTATACAAAAAAAAAAAAATGGAGATAATAAAAGTTTTAATTTAAATCAAATTCATTTGTGGTTATTAATTGAGAATAAACAGCATTATGATTACGTCTTCCAGTATGAAATCTATTATTATTATTATTATTATTCTTTTGAAATAAATAATGATTATGTAATATATTTATTAATCCAAGAAGTATAAGAGCGAATATAGTTGCTAGAATGAAGAAGATTGGAGCAAAATCTCTGACTATAGATTTTGTATATATTTGAGAACTTAAATCAGTCCATCCACTGTTTGATTCATTATCAGTTGATGGTACTGTTGATGTAAGACTTGGATCATTATTCATTGGAAGGTTAATAACTTCACTACAAATAAATACAAAACATGTTATCAAATTCGAGAAAGTAATTCGATACTTCTAATGAAGTAGAATAGCGAACATGATTCCTTTTTTTTGTAATAATAATAGAAGTATAGCAATTGAGTTCTGATATAAATATGATTTCTTTTTATACTCATATTTCATCGACTCGGGAACTTATAATTCACTTCTGATTAAGTCTCAGTGTAAGAATTAACTTAGAAATGATCATAAACTACAAAATACATTATATAAGAAATGATGCAAATAAAAACAATCCATGTAAATAATTAGTTATTCAAGACAATTCGTAAAATATTTTTTACATCATCAATCAAAATGTATACGGTGGTTTAAAAGTAGACTGACAGTCTTTAATTGCGAATAACTTTTGATAGGAACGAGATAGAGAACTGCAATTTTCACCGTTCGAAAGAGAAGATGAAGACGTATCGAATCATATATTAGAGGTTTTTCTATATTCTATGTTTATTTCCTATTAATAACTAACCGTTGCGCTTGAATAATAACCGTTTTTAAAATCGGTGGTCTTTGACATATTACAGTTGCTTGTCGATTACAAGGTATTTCATCACATCGAATAACTGGTGTTGTATCAGATAATAAATCAAGATATGCACAACCAATTTGTTGATCTTTTAATCGATTTTGATCATTTTTGGATAAAATTTTTGATGAATTTATTTTTGTATAATGTTGATGAAATGTTTGTTCACATAAATCATAAATCGAATTAGAATCTGGTACAATTTGTAAAATACTTTCATCAGTTATATTAGATCGTATAACAGTACGATTTTGATTATCATAAATAACACCAATATGTGCAAAACCAGATGATGCATAATGATGTCGACGTAAAAATAAGGATCTTATTATTTTTAATGTAATAAATTTTTCAGGTACAAATAACATAGCATTATCACGTTCACATTCAGATTTTGCTTCGTTCCAACTACTTTCGTGAAATGATATTTTATAGCAATATTCATCTATAAAATCATACTCTGTATCATTACCACATGAATAATCTATTGATGTATTAACTGATACAGATATCACATCATCATCTGTAATTGAAGGAATAATAGTTGAATTAAATTCTAAATGTTGATCAACACAAACTGGTGTAGCGGACATTAATGAACAAAGATTTGATTCAGCAATACATTGATCATCAGCTATTATATTACTATATGAAGTTTTTTCATAACGAAGAACAATACAATTTCGATCAATTGCGTTTGATGTTTGTGAACATTTTCCAAGTGAACGATCTGATATTGTATTATTATTAATAATATCTGATGTACGATCAATCCAAAAATATTTTGAATCATTATATGATTTAAAAGCAGAAAAAATTGAAAGTGTATTTGAAAGACGTCTACTTAAAGTTGATTCAGATAAAATATCTTGAATTTCTAAAATATCATTTATTTTTGCAATAATACCACCAATAGATTTACAATAAGATTGTGCATTTGAAAATGAATTTTTCTTT